ACAAACCACAATAGATGAAACAAAACCTATGTTATTTCTGTCTTGATATTCCAGCCTAAGTGTGTGACACACTCAAATAGAAAAGTGACAGTGTCAAATGTTTCACACAAAAGTTGTATGGTATTTGTAAATGAAAGGAAAATGGCTTTTAAGGCAAATAATCAGGCATATCTGAGATATAATTTATCGTTATTCCTTACATCTCACAGGTAATAAACCTTCAAGCTTATATCTTATGTCAAATACATCATCGATAATATCAAAGTTATCCAAATGCAAATATTCTCCTTCCTTAAATCTCTTTTGTCGTGGAGGACATGAAATGAAATTTCCCTGTTATAACATTGTCTAATAATTCAAACTTGATCATAAATCTTCATAACCATTTCAGTTTACACAAACATACCGTCTCCAGACAACTAACAAAAGCTCTGAGTTGTTTGTGGTCTTATACAACACTGAATACTTAAATCAAGTCGGATTCAAACCAACATTAAATCAGAGATCATGTTAAAATTATACCATAAATCAATAGAATATAAAATACAGGTGTGCCTCAGACTTAACTGCTTGAGAGTTTAGGGGAACTCATAATTCAATGTAGTATTCAGGAAAACAGCACTGACAATAGTGCAGTGTATAACATGACCCTATGAGAGGCCCAAATGGGGTGTGTATACACCGATCAAATATTTCATTAATGTCCGCGATTGTCTAGGCAGACATTGATATCCCACAATCCTCTTGCAGACACACAAATGAGTATTCCAAGCCATGATTATGAATAAATTCTTGAAAGCTGATTTAATGTTCCGTTGACCCCATAGACAATTATTCCTCTTTGACCCCCGACCCCTCATTTCTGTTGCAATGTTCGATGATGACTTCTACTGCTCGACCAAACTGCCATGGACACTTTCCTTTATAATTCGGAGACAATAGGCCAAGAAGGTTATCTCGAGAATATTATGTGCAATTCACGCACACAAGGATGTTGGACAATTTATATGACTTATAAAAGATATCAGAATAATTCTCTTCAAGGCTGTCAAATTTGTGAATATCACTAAAACTGACAGATTAATCCTGGTTGCCAATTTCAGGAACTACTTTGTGTGCTAGGATACGGGTGAAATGAGTCAGGCGATTTAACAGGTCAGGGGTTAACGGTATCGTGTGATTTATTTAAAAGGGTTAAGTTGAGTGTGTGTGAAAAATTCATTGCTCAAGTCATTTGTTACATTAGCCAAAATCAGACTTAAAACACTTTTACATACTGTTGCTAAAGAACATCTCGTAAATCAGCCGGCTTTGAAGTTTTACTTACAGACTGGGGCATGTTTGCTTTACTAGAAACAAAGTGTGAAATGTCAGGCTGAAAAATCACAATGCTTGAATCCTGAATTTATTTGTATGGAAGAGATATTGAAACAGTATGCTAGTTCTTGTATCGTGCTGTTTATTTCTATTGTGAAAGTTATGATTCATCCTTGGGCTATACATGAAGAGGCCTACATTTGTATACCACATGACATTGAGGAAACCTACACTCAAATGTTGCATTTATTCAACTAAAGATGCAATATGTTCCGTTATTTCCATTTTTAAATTTAAAACAAATTGATTTTAATTTTATTCCCATCTGTCACAGATAGCCTTTGCAACAGTGAATGTCACTAATTCTATCCAACTGACTGATCATTCTACAAACACCCAATGAATGTATGTTATTATCAAGTGTAATCACAAGACTATAATGAAGAGGATGCCAAGTTTCTAAGTATTCTCTCATTAATCTTATTTCTCTACTAAGAGAACATTCTAGACCTTTATAGATGAGAACTTGTTATACACAGAAAGTCGTCCCACAAGTGGCCTGAGATATTTATCTTGTCAATTAAAGTACACTTAATGACCAGCCTATGGCAAACCTGAAACCAAAGCTCGTCATCAAAACCAAATTATCCGCCCTTTACCCAGCATCCCTCACTTTCTACATCCAAACACTGGTCCTGTATGAACACTTAACAACCCATCCCCTTTGAAGAAAACGTAAACTGAATCAAAAGCCCCAGCATAATGCTTTGTAATAGGCAAGTAAGCTCGCAAAATGATGCTTATGTCAAAACTTGGCCAAAAAAAGTTTGTGCTTTTGTGTTATAGCTCCGAGCTGGTGCCAGGCCGAGCAATGTGCATTCTAGAAAACTCAGGTCTGGGGTATAAAATAATATTTTATCATATTCTCTGCTCATTATTTTAACTTTGATACAAGCTTTGATCCGTATACTTCAAAGTAAGCAAGACATATGTATAATTATAAGAAGTCGGAGGCTGAAGGCTTGTGTTGAAATTCCCCAAAAAGACGTATACATGCGCATTTCTCGTCTATGTTAACATCCCTTAACATCAAAGGAAGCTGCCATTTGTTTACCAAGTATAAAGCTAGCTTGACTCTGTCGGGTTATGGCAGAACTTTACCACTGACACAAGCAATCAACATATTACTTTATATGTCACTTCAAAAACCAAACTTTTTCTTTAAATATAAATTTCAGGAGAGATGATATTCATATTTCAAAAATTCAGGTCTCTCGAGAACCCTCTTGGCCCTTTGACTATTTCACAGATGTTTTAATCTTAGGATTTGAAGAAAAATAACTGAGTTGAAAGCCATCTCGGGGGAAATTGACAGAACTCTCTTCCTTAAAAAGGTAAAAAAAAAATCAATTTTCAACATTCTCAACATCTTGTTAAGTTAAATATGATTTGACAAATTTTCATGTTTCAAACTGAGATCAGAGTGATCGTAATTATGGGTAACTGAAAATGTCAACACCTTTGAACTAAAAGTAGATTTAGAAGCAAGTAATTAAAAAAACAGATTAATTCAAACAATTACATCAGCAATATCACCTGTCAATCACTTAAAACATCCTCCATTTCATCTCTATTATTAAAGATCTTCAAGAACTTTTCTTCAACATATTATAGTCTTTGCACACATTCTTATAATTCATGTCAAATATTTTAGACAGATTCACAAGATAAATACCACCTTCAACTCACACAAATATATAATGAGAAAACCAAAGTAGATCCAGAGAAATCCCGAACTAATGACAAACATTCCTTTAAGCCCATCCAACTTTACGTGATCTACGTCAGAGTAGATACTTTGCATTACAATAAAAAAATCAACAGGACAGCAATGTTTGATAAAATTACATATATTCAACGGAAATGATGAATTTCTGACACATCATCATCCGTAGAATGTGTATCCCTAGCCTATCTCCCCACCCTCAGTAAACAAAGCAAGTCTCCCGATTCAGTATTTAGCTAAAATATTGCGTTTCACAACCAGTGGGTCACAAACACAGTGAATTTGTTATCACGTAGGTAATTGAGTAGCCTCCTATCCCAGCCAAATAATTTCTCCACTGAGTCATGAAGATATGTTTGTATATGAGAAAACATTTCCTATGGTTGGTGTCATATGATTCATGGCAATACTGCACCTGTTCAGCCTCCACACCTTAATACACTTCGCAATCCATATAAATATGAAATATATTTGTTCACCAGGATGGCTGATCATCCATCGCCTTATGTGTGTATTGTATTGTTCAAAACTGACACTCCCGTGGCTATTATGATTCCGAAAGTGTGTGCTTAGCGTATATGAGTATGTTTTGATAATCCGGGGCATGAAATATACCCTTGTGTATCATATGCTTGTATTGTCTATTATATAGCTGGGATCGGGTTGCGTTCTTTTATCAAGGCCCCTCTATCGCTGGACTTTTGTGAGAGGCAAGTATACTCCATTCTGAGAGAATTTTGATACTATTAAATATTTATAGCCGTTTTACTGCTTGGGATGTATTGGTAAAAGCCATCTATGCCCTCATTTACATTAAAGTACAGTATTTCATTTTGAAGCGGAACTTGGAAAATATTTTGTTTGGCTTGAGTTACAAAATATTCTCCTAAATACATAATTTAAAGTCTTTTCAAAAAGATGCATTATACAGAAATAAAACATCTCAAATCTAAAAGTCAAGCACAATTTCAATATTTATTGTCAGATGTTTTGTTAAGAATTGAACATTTTCTGTCAACCATTTACTAGAATTCCAGAAATGAAAAGTACATTGTTGGGCCCTTTGGAAATGACAATCTGTTTATTAACATAATCACATGAATTTGTGACTTTTTTTCAAGATGCCTACAAAGACAATGGAAGTTATTTGCCGACAAAGTGCAGGAGCATCGTACAGACGGATGATCACGTTTTAACTCCTTCTCCCCCTCACATCTTCTGACCGGCCAATGAGGAACAAACAACAGCAACACAATCAGCTGATTTCAAATGGATCAAGTTTTTTCTGGTCAAACAGGCCACTCCGTATTATGAAGTCCATTCATAAATACTAGGCAAACTCACAACATCCATGGGATGTGTCTAAGGGCCTTGTGTGTGCCGACCAGCTATTTGTTATGAATAAACATTACTTACTCCGAGAAGCATCTTAATACATAAGACAAACAAATCTATGACAAATGAATGTGACTTTTGTACACCAAGGAATCCCTGAAGCTAAAACTCCGCCGACTATGTTTGAGATACTCCCAACCTATAACACAGGCACGTTCACGCCTCCATTTGGTTCAAAGGATGTGACGTTCCTCTTCAAAAGAGTATTTCCACAAAATTCACACCAATAAAACAAATCTGTTTAGTCATGGAATTGGGACGGTACAATTTCTCTATTTTGGACACCAAACTTTTCACAAATATGCTTAAAATTTCAGAATGTGCAGTTTTGCTTTGTAGTGTTCGTTTGGAGAAAGTTAGCATTTGAAACAATACAAAGAACCCATACCAAGTGAATAACTGAACAAAAACATAGTTAGCCTGTTAACTATTAATCCAACTGTTACAAAGAAAGAACCAAAACAATTATTTATATATGAAGAAGTATTCAACAAGTACTTACTCGTCCCTCTGTGTCGAACTTCAGGTGTTGATATGTTCATATTCGGCATTGGGGGCATCATTGGCGACGCGGAAACGACAGCCTCTTTCTGAAGTTGGCTAAATGCAGAGAGTCCGGAGAGTCCGGAGAGTCCGGAGAGCCCAGAGAGTCCGGAGAGTCCAGACAGACCGGAAGAGGGGAGTGGGGTTGATAAAGCGGGAGTCGTAAAAGTCGAACTACTCGATGATGATGAAACTGCCTTTTTGGGTTCTTCTGATGATGGGGATTCCTCTTCTTTCTTATCTTCCGAATCAGGAGCAGATGACTCTTGGGTCTCCGAACTGGGAGGATCGGAAGGGGTCAAGGTCGTTTCAGCAGAGGTCGTTGGTGGAACAGCCTGTTGATTTTGTTGAAGTTGTCCAGTAATAAGCTGCTGCTGCAGCTGTTGTATAAGCTGTAGTTGCACAAGTTGTTGCTGTTGCAGACTATATAATGTTGCGCTCATCATAGCCAAGTCTTGTGGCATCAAATTGTTCTCCGCAAACTGAGCAACTGCTGCTTTCGTCTCGGACATTGGCTCGAGCGTCACATTTGTATTGGGCAAGAATGGAAATAAATGAGGTAGTTGTGACATTAGCTCGTACTTGGATTGAGAAATCATCTCAGTGTCATTGTTACTGTCCTTCTTCTCGTCCTCCTCAAAATTGTCATTTTCATCGAGGTCCTTGTCCCCGTTCACACCTAAACCCATACCATAGCCCTCTTCAGACATGTCTACAGAGTCAAGGTCATTGACATCGTTTTCATCAGAGCCACCCTCAAGGTCGTCTGGTTGTGACCTTATATCCTCATCATCATCATATTCTATTGATGGGGATTTGGGCCGAATCTCATTATCGCCTGGTCTGTTTTCAGCATCAATCATGACTACAATTCTCTTTTTTGTACACGTCTGCTTATGAGCAATGAAACCTTCAAGGTCGAGAAATTCAGCCCTACATTCGCCACATACATGGGCGTCTTTAGTATTGGGTGCAGGCATATCCCCGGGAGTGGAACCTGAAACAGTAGAGGAAGAACCTTAAGACATGATGCAAAAATAACAACAAACAGAGCTCAATGTTTAGGCTATCATTAGCAAAATGACAGCTATATCATGCAAGTTGAAAAAGAACCAATCCTGGATCAGGGAAACCAGTGGTTGATAGTGTGAGCATCAAACCACACAGTTGGTCCTTGATGTTGCTATGTCACATATAAACAAGAAATTAATTGTCACGTAAATCCCAACAGAGCAAATTCTCATCACGGATTCACTAATTTTGTCATTATTTTGAATTGTTGTAATTCTTTGATAATCATTAACATCAATCAGTACCAAAAGTACTAATCAAATGAACAAACAAATGACATATGTTCCAACTGACCTAATGGTTAAGGTGAGCTAAGAACAAACACATTTTCGACGTCCAACTACAAACTCGGTGTTAAATGGAAACTCAACTTGTTTCAAGTTCACGTGTAATTGCTACTGACATTTGAATTATCAAATAACAAAAATATGCAACCTAATTGTTAAGCATCCATTAGCAGACAATGTTCTTTAAAAGCAAGTTATTTTTGCCAACAATCCTTCCGAGCTCAAACCTTGTCACATAGCTTTTATAAATCTACCAAATTGTAAAAGCAAACGACACATTAATTGTCAGCATACATCATACGTTTACTTTATTTGATCAAACTCTGATGGTCGGATGAAGGAATCCTTTTTGTGCCAACATAATTCCAATATATGTCATATTAATCGATGTTCTTTATCGTCGATCTTATTAAATTTGTATGTATGACATAGCAGTGTGTTCCCACTGGGACGGTTTGATTGCCTCATCTCTCGGGAGCGTATTACAGATTAATTCAATATCTCCCAGTGTAAATGAAGACCCTATTGCTCAAAACACATAGACCGAATTTTTATTGTCATAACAAAACAGATGCATGGAACCAGTGTCATTAGTCGTCATGGCAACAAAAGTGTGTTTGTTCCGCAAAATATTCTGTTGTAAAAATGGATGAATGTGCAATATAAATACTCTGTACTGGCAGTAATAAAAGCAGCATTATTGCGCAAAAAACATGTCAGACATGACAGTAATTGGAAAGACCTTTGCTTCTAATTGTACATCAAGGGCAATACAGACCTCTAAGTGGACAAGATATGCATACATGCAATGAATTTCATCCTTATGACGAATATCTATCCCATGACTGTAATTACCAATACAATAACTGTAATTATCATCATATGTGTATTATCAATCATTCCTGTGTTTGACAGAGTCGGAACGAAAGGTCAGCATTTTCTTATAGGCGCTGACCTTCGAAGTCTCGACATCTGTTTAGGTCTCTGTTTTTTTCACTTACAGCCATTTTAGGCTGACTTAATTATTCAGGTAGCTTGTGAAAAGATCACAATACGGCAGTGTTGAGTTCATGAGACATTCATAATTAAAACCTGTGACTATTAATGAGACTTGTGTTGCCATCAGTGACAAATGACGAGGGAGACACAAAGTTGAAATGGGGACAGGCAAATCTGTTATTGATTATTGGTACCTTCAATGTAATCAGAACAGCTCTCCTCCCTGCAAACCAACAACTAAATAACTGGTTTTAATGCATATCTGACATCTGTACGTGTTCCATAGCAATGAATTAAACAAATGTAAAAGATCAAAAGCAATTTATAAATATTTCAAATTCAATTTCATGAAACTTTACTGAAATTGTTATGAAACAAAATGTTTCAGTATGGTTTGAAACTCACAATCTCAAATTTAGAAAATTTCATTTTGACAAATTCTTTTTGTACTCCCCCTATACTACTTAAATTCACAGACTGTCTTTTTATTCTATTAAGAATCAGCTTGTCTTAGTATGATTGATTATGGAGAAGCACAATTTTTGTTTTGCCATTTTAGTCATATCCACAAGGACCTGAAAAAAAGTTAGGAATATTTCTCATCCATATCATAATTACAGAGTATTTCATCAAAACTGTCAACATAATATTGGGGGTAATCTTTTAAAACCGTTCCAATTTTATTAATTTGAAATTAGTTTCTTGTGAAAGTTTCTATTCAGATTAGGTTCCTGAAGGTTGCATTCTTCATTTAAATCCATTAATTGAGTTTGTTTTCTGCAGTAATTGTCACCTTAAGATGCTGTTTGATTAAATTAACCTGTGATTTTGTTGGAGAAGCCTTTTCATGGGAGATAGGAGAGTGTTTAGCCAATGCCCTAAGGTGGAGGAGGATGGCTCGCGTTAATTCGGCGCATCTGTCGATCATGAGCGATCTCGCTGCAAATAGTCAGATCCGAGTGCAGAAAAACGACATCTTTTTTGCAGCATGGAAAATAGGCCTATTGTTGTGGCATGTTTTTCATGGCGGCGGCACTGAGCAGAGCATCATGGGTAAAGAATTAACAGAAATATTACGCTGTGGAAGCAGTGACATGTGATCATAACATGAGCGCATTCACCCTTTCTTGTCATCAAGCGAAACTTTACACCATTTTCATAATATTCAAATCAGTTTGGACACACATGAAGCACGGATGGTTTCACACTACGAGCGTCGACCATGTGCAATAATACGGTCTCGATTGCAGCCTTACGACTTAACAGTGTCAAGTTGGAGAGCTGTCTATTCTTTGCCTCCTCGGAGTATGATATCTATTTACATTTATGAATAACTCGCCTCAACTCTCACATCTACTTATATTAATGCTCCACTGAATCAACAAAATTCCTCTCGACTATGAGACGTCCCGTGAAATATGAATCTGTGATGGGGTATTGTCTGGGTAGACGGCTGTGACACACACGTTGATGTGTCACACAGTTTCAAATTTGTCTCTGCGCTGTGTGCAGGGTAACAACCATACAGTAAGATGATCTACCCAACCAGAACTACAAGTGTTGCTCTAAAAGGGGTTCAACATGCCGGGTGCCCTTCAAATTCCACCCCCAATGCTCCCCCACCTTCCCATCACCTAAAATGCCCCCCAAATATCCAGCCATTCTTTTGTTATATTTTCAAACAATGGCAGTCACAGTATGCATGGCCAAGGAGATGAGTATCGATTTTTGTTTCTTACATTTGTCATTGTCAAGTCTAACTAAAAGAAAATAACTGTTCCAGCCTGTAATATGCAAATGTTTATCAATTCAAACATTAACATGAAAATATAATTTTATTCAATTAAGCAACCAACTGTCACAAAAACCAAAATTAATCTAAAATCTAAACAGACCATATTGAATTTCTTTTTAATATTCTGCAATCAATATTTTTGGGTCACCAAAGTGAGTTATTCATCCTCAAAAAACGTAACCCCCCACTTCCTCATTTTCCAGGTCTTCTTTCTCCCCCATTTTTTACTGGCCCTTTCTCCCCCGAAACCTGGTATATTGACACTGCAGATTAAACTGAACACTTCCATCTTTTCTCCAACCCTCAATTGATATGACCTAGAGCACGAACACACAAAGCAAGTGTTTGTATTAGAAAATCTGATTCCCTTTTAATCAATTATGATATGATAATCATATCTAGTTATCCCTTAACTAAATGACAAGGCATGTCTGCAGCCCTGCATAGGACACGATCCATCTCCTTGTGTCGTATAGGCCTGTAGTGGCATCAATAGGGGTAGGAAACGTATACTCCCCATCTTCTTTGTTGTGCTATCGTAGAGGTAGCTCCAATACCAGCTTGTGTCGAAATGACACAATAGTCTGTTATGTCAACATATCGGCGAGTGCCAATTTATGCCGTACTGTTTGCATTTTGACGGCAAACAGCATGTCGGAGAACTTTCTTTTCACGTGCATTGTCCGCTTGTAATGCGTGCTGGGAGCTCGAGACCCAGGACTGATAACTCTTTTCAGACTTTGCCACAAAAGAGCACACTTTGCGAAACAAGACTGAGGCAAGAGGTCAACGCTATTTAGCATCAGATTAACACTTATTGTTGGCCCATGTTCCACTCCAAATACCCTGGGATAACACAATCATCAGTGACAGTCCTAAAACAATTTTCATCTGGCAACGGTCTGGCAATGATCTCGGGGTCAAATGTCTATTAAGCTTATCCTTCCCATAAAATTGAAAAACACCTGAAAAATTCCAGAACGCCAGGCATTACAAAAATGTTCCAGCACATTTAACATGTTATGAGAGTTCATTGCATAAGGTTGTGGGCATAATGTCTAAAGCAATATTTCTTACCATCCTAAAACATCTGCATCTGATAAATAATTAAGGGCTCAAAATCTCATTAAAGAAAAAAATGGGGCTTGGTGTTTTCCCACAAAACTTTCAGCTATCTTCATAGCGTATCAGGTCTTAGAACCGAGATGGGCAAATTGAGTGTTTCGTTGTAACCCCTGACCAAAAGTGTCTCCCATTTTGCCGGCAGGATTTGGCTGGTTAGCCGAGAGGTCAAAGGCTAGCAAGCTGCACATGTTGTAGTGACAGGTACTGTTCTAACATTGCACATCACATTGTAAGTGGGCCGCTAAGCATCCTGCCTCCTCAACAGGAGGAGAGACTGAGATAGGAATGTACAGTTGACATATCGGCCGACCTGTCTTCAAGAAATTTGTTTCTGATGTTCCAACGATAACCTTTTGGGAGAAGCTCAGCATCTTTTTCTCACCTCCACAACAAGGGAACTCACTGATTTCCTCCACAGAAGAAATTTACATACACCATTAACTGTGTTTACTGCTGGTGAGCTCTAGTGTGGAACAGGCATTGAGATTGATGGGATGTTTAGATACACACATAACTGGACATCTTCACTCCAGTTGAAACAATTTCTAGCCCATTTCTTTGAAGATGCGTGCATATCTTCTTAAGTCTTATTCCATTACAAACAGGCATCACGTTCTTCACATATTGTTTCAAACACTCACAACTATAAATATCCCACAAGGAAATGAGTTCATATCTGGAGATGAATATTTTTTCAAGATTCTTAAGTTCTTAAATATT